GACTACGGCATGCACGACTATGAGTACCCCCCCCCCCCCGTGCTCCGTCCGCCACCTCGCTGTCCACGCCTCTGGCAGGGTACACGTGCGACGGCAGGTGCAACCTCCGGCACCCGTCCGCTGCGGAAATCGCCGCTCTGGCCGCCGCCCCACCGCCCGCCTCAGCAGCAACAGCAGCAGCATTCGTCCGACCTTCTCCATCCAGCCAACAACCGCCAAACAGTTCTCGGCCGTCAGCAGCAGCAGCAGCAGCAGCGGCAGCAGAAGCAGAAGCAGCGGCAGCAGAAGCAGCAGCAGCAGCAGCAGCAGCGGTCGTCCGACCGGCTCCTTCCAGGCAACAACCGCCAAAAAAATCGCGGCCGCCAGCAGCAGCAGCGGCGGCCGCAGCTGCGGCGGTGGCAGCGGCGGAAGCAGCGGCGGCGGCGGCTATCAAGGCCAGAGCTCCCCCTTGCCGGTTCTACGCCAGAGGGCTGTGCACCAAGGGCAGGGCGTGTCCCTTTTTCCACGCGCCCTCCGCCCAGCAAGTGCCAGCAGAGCGAACGGCTCCGGAAAGCAGCTGGGGGCCAGCCCCTACCACTCTTCGAGGGGCGGCGGCAGCAGCCCGAAAGGCTACCGCTGCATCCGAAGCGCGTGCCGCTTCGGGCGAAGAGCGGAGGAAGCACAAGGGCGGGGCTGCGGGGAAGCGCGAACCGGGCGTGACAGAACGTCCTAGGAAGATGGTGCTGAATAGTGGGGGTGGCGGCCTTGGTGTTTCGGTGGAAGCGGATGCTGCAGCGAAGAGGCGGGCGGCGGAGATACTCCAGAAGCACAGGTAGGTGTCTATGTTTTGAGGAGTGTTGCTGTTTTCGTGGATGCAATGAACGTATTTCGCGTTCGGTTCCCCAGGACTGCTTTGCGACAGGTGGAAACGTTCGACGAGTCGTTCTGCTTGACTTGACCACGCCTTTCGTGGTACAGCAAACGACTTTGAGTAATTTCGAAACCTGTTTTTAGCGAATTTATTAGTAGCCAGAGTGGTTTCGGAAGCTTTCTTTTTATGGATAGCCGAAGATACTGTCGCGCAAATATGGCCGCACAATGGCTTATTCTTTTCGCACCAAATTGCCATATCCCGTCCCTTACCCCAACTCTTCTCTCGGCAAGGCTGACTTCGAGTACACCGGCCAAGGAGGCGGGATCGCGAGGGGGGATGCACATTAGGGGGGCAGCTCGGACTCAACCCAGCGACAAGAAAAGCTGCGCAGAGACCTCGGGACAGCGGCAGCCGCGCCCGCCAACTGGTCGTCATAGCGGACACAGCTCTACGGCATTAGCATCACCACTAGAAGCAGCAGAGGCATCGTCGAAGGGCCGCACGATTCCAGCGGACAACAACGGCAAGAATACTGGGGCAAAAACAGGGAAAAGAGTAGGCGAGCAGGAAGAGGCAGCAGGAGCGGAGGAGGCCCCCGCTTGTGAGGGCGCAGTTTTGCTCGCTCCCTCTCCCAAGAAGCAGGCAACTGAAGAAATACCCTCGACCACAGCACGGGCTGCAACGAAAGCCGTGGGCAAATTGCAAAACACTTGAAGGGCAGAGGGGGCAACGTCAACGAGTTGCGAACCCGCGGATAAGCAGCAGCAAAAGCAGCAGCAGCAGAGCAGTAGCAGCAGGGGAAGCATCAGGGGCAGCAGCTGCCCGTTCATGCTGGCAGCGATGCACCCTCACCCTTAGCAACATCATATGCTACGACGGCCGCCGTCATTGCCAACGACAAGGAGGAATTGCTTCCTAGCCGAAGCGGAAAGTGCTTAGGTTTGCGTGGAGGGCCGGATGGTCATTGGTGCTACATTCACTGGCGGTGTTACCGACACTTTGGGGTGGTGGCGGTAACGATTAGCCTAGTGGCAGGGAACACTAGCTAGGGGGGTGGATGTAGAGCGGACACTTGGCAGTGTTTACCGCCACCGCCGCCGCCGCCACCCGCGGTACGTTCGTCTTGTTTCCTTGGAAGCGGCAGGCCCTCTTGAGGATGGCAAGGTTGAGTCCGGGGCGTGCGGTGTTTTGCACCGGAGCAAATTGTCCCAAAGTCCGGGCGCTCAAAGTTTGGGAGCGTTGAGTTGAGAGCGTGTGCCGCAGTTTGAGAGCGGTCAGTCGGACGTGTCACGCGTGCACTGGTGCAGACGGCGGGAGGAGAAATTCCAGGGGTTTCGATGAGTGGTGGTTTTTTTTTTTCACGGGGTGGTTGTTGTGAAAGATGGTCTGTTCGTCGGCCGACGCCAACAACAGAGAATCATCTTGAGCAGATTTTGAAGAGATGTGACCCTTTGTGATTGTGATGATCATCTCCACAACAGCGGCGTTGTTTTCACATAGGGTATGCATCCTCCCGGTGAATAAGCTTAGTTGCTGGTGTAGTACCAACCCTTTCTGCCACGACCACAACCACCGTAGACGGAGTCTTCGGGAATGAGTATGCTTTATTGCCTTGAGAGGGGGCTGACAGTAGACGAACATAGTGTTCGAGAGTGCCTGCGGTGGAGAAAAGTGTGCTGCGTGGCGGAGGTGGCGCTTTGAGCCTTAATCTGGGACTAGGAAAAGAGACAACGCGGGTCCCGTTCGATGAAATCGTTCCGATCATGCTTGAATTATTAGGTACTCGCACGACTTCACGGTTGAAGAGGGAAAAGGGATGACTGAACCCTTCTCGCGAAAAAACTACCAGGCAAGCACCGTAGGACCTGTGGCATTAACAAAATAGAAAGCAGAAAAAGTTCCTGTGTGTGATTTTCCGACGGTGTAACCCCGGCTTATTCTTCAAAACGCACTCACCGCAAGGTGTGTATTTCGGCGCCAGAGCACATGGGTCAAACACAACACATCGTGCGTTGTGACGTGGTGCACTAGAGTAGTGATGCGTGTTGGTCTGTCCTTGTTCCGTGTCGGTGCTACGGGAAAAGGAAGGGCGGTGGGATGTCGCAAGAAGGTTGAGTATGTTGAGTTTGGTGATGATGCGATCACCAACAACGAATGACGTCAAAATTGGTTTTTTCTCAAGAGACGGAACCGAGGGAAAATATGTGTCGGGAAAAGGAAAACCGCAATAGATGCACATCTCTCTCTTGCGCAACAAGAAGTCTTCTTTGCTTTATTTGTCTTAGGCGGAAGATCTTCGTCTTCGGCGGGAGATCTTTCCTCAGGGTTTAGCATTCTGCAAAAAACTTGAATTTGAACAAACCGGGGGGGGGGCTCAACAAAAAAGTTCCAGCCACGCCTCGTGTGAAGTACTCGGGAGTGAGTGCTAACACCGGGCACGATTCCCTTGCCGTAGACATTACGCAGGCCCTGGATCATTCGAACGAAAGGCCACAAAGAGCGCGAGAGTATCCGCAGTGATTTATGCACAATCACAAGAACTCCTGTAGGCAAAAAATTAAAAATTACCCGCCCCCAAACTAGCCCACTCGGGTCCGCCCGACCCATGACATTCGGCCGGATAAGACCAAACAGAAGAAGAGCAAACTATGTATGAACATTTCAACAACGCTCAGCAGGCCGACCCCTGCTACGTGAGCCCAAACAAGACAAAAACAAAACACCAGGGCGTGTCCCGTGTCTTGAACTCGCTAACCCCATGTACCAGCATCCACAACTTCACCCTTGACATCAATAAATAAAAGGCTGCTCGGCCTCATGACCCGTCCATTTCACCGACAGACTCAAGCGTCGACAGACCCATTCTTTTGCTGCTGCTGTTGCTATTGCTACAGGCTCATGCTTGGTCTCGCACCACCTCTCGAAACGAGCACAGACAATAAAACAGCAAAAAGAAAATACAACCTCGGTAGCAGCTCCAACACGCAATAAAAAACTAGTTTCCAATTTCACAATTAACATGCTTCGAGGAAGACATGTTCAACATGCCGAAGTCTAAAGTCACTGCTTCCAGGCATGGAGTTCGCCCCAGCGTCGCACACCGCTGCTCTTTTAAGCACATCTTGTGCTGAGCACACACACACAGCCAACCAACGACAAAAAATCAACAAGAGCTGGTGTTCCCAGGGTCCATAACTTTCCGATCCGGGTCCATGACCGGCCTTCCGCTGCGCCCGGCCACTGCCGCTGCTGCCGATGCTGCCGCCTGCCGCTCCCAATCCACCCGCTTCGCGCTCGCTCTAGCCCGCGACCGGCACTCCTGGGTACTGGCGAAACCTTCCGTCTCCGCTGCGGTAGCTGTGGAATCGGCCGTACGCTCGGCGTTGAACATGTCCCAGCAACCCTGGAGCTTCTGGAACTTTCGCTCGAGGAACTTGACTCGGAACTCGTTGTCCCCAGCAAGATCCGGGTGGCATCGCTTGATCTCCACCCGGTAGGCGGTGCGAAGCTGCCAAGCACAAGAGGCAACCAAAGGTGTGTGGCCGCCGGTGCGCAATGCGTGCAAGTGTGAGCGTGGGCATGCGTGTTTGTGTGCGGGCGGGTTTGGGCGACATATGCGGCGTGTGGTGGGGCGATTCTGTCCACAAGAGACGTGTTTTCGTAATTAGCCAAATAAAATAAATGCCAATTTCTGACTCTTCCTCCTTTAGAATGCGTCTGAAATACTCGCGCTCCTTAATTTGCATGCACCGCGCTAACCGGCTGATTAATGAAAAGACGACAGTTTTGTAGCGGGATAAAAATTTGTGTGTTTAGGGTGTGCCGAGCGCCTTCTTCCAATCACTCCCCCGTGAACTTGTCCCTAAAGGTGAAGCCCCACGGCATATATACCACCGTCGTTTCACCAGCAAATCTTGAGAACGTCAAAAAAAGCCTGAATCTGACCAGGGCGAAACAACCCGCCCCCCGGCATCACAGGCTACGGATGGTGCCTTGCTTGTTCGGAGTGGAACGATCAGGCCCAACAGACCATCCCGGAAACCCGGGGATTTCGGGGTGGAAAGCCACCGTAAATACATCCGCGAACCCCTGTTGAGTCCAGTCCTTTATTTTTTTTGCGGCAAACAAAATAAAAGGGAGGAGAGAGTGCGGAGGGAGCGACAAAAGTACAGCAGAGAGAAGATGAGTGTACTTCTGTAGACGCAACAGCTATCTCCACCCATAGGCCAAGAGGGCTGCCCGCGACCGGACGGTGGGCACAGACAGGGTAATAGAAGGGTTGATGTGTGGTAGCGGTGCGGCCGGTAGGGCAGGTTAGCCTTGTAGACCTCGAAAAGATCAGTCAAGCCGCCTGAACCAGTCTATTTTCAGTATGTTCAAATGATCAGTGAGAGGGCTTGTAGACCCATAGCTGGTTCTTGTACTTTACTTCTCTGTCCCCTCCCCACTGTGAGCCCTGCCGGCTTAGACTACTACAGCTCCTGTGATTTTCCCACAATTCCCACAAACACGCAAGCACACCAGCACACACTTACCTTTGCATCAGTGGCTCTCCAGGTTCGGCCGAGGGTATTTGTGGGGCTATGATGATAGTGAATGTGTTACTACAGTTCTGCTGTATGTTGGACTCGTCTATGCTGCTTCTGCTGCTGTGTGGTATAGCTGGTGACATGATGACTCCTGGATCTTGGGAGTGTGCAAATTTCATATTTGGAGGATATGCAGCATACCACAATATCCTGGCCTGGTTTGGCTCGAAGCGCCCTTTTCGCAGTCCTCCTATCTTTGCTTTGGCTTTCTAGATTCGGGCGAGGGCATGTATGTGGAGCTAGTGATGTGTGTCTCTGTGAAAGGATATGGGGAGAGGTTCATGATGGCATTCGCATTTAGAGCAGCGTGCATTTTTCCAAGTTTGGCCGTTTCCAGGGACCTTGCTATTACCCGCTGGCACTAACGTCTTTTCACTGGTCAACGGGTAGCGCGGTCGACGCGAATAATCAAGACACACCTTCCTATTGACTCGCCAACACCTGGCTTGGAGGGATACAGGGCGGCAACTCCATGTCATGCCACAACACCATCATTTACAAACAAATGACCATTCAATGATCTGTCAGGACGCCTGTAGACCCAAAAGGGTTAATATCACCCACAAACTTCCTCTCCCAAAAAAAAAGCCAAAGACACGCAGAAAACGCAGGCATTGCTCCAGACCTCGTCGTAAGTGGAACTCGCGGGCAGGCCCAGCTGCGTCGCCAGCTCAACCTTAACCGCACTCCCTTTGCCGCCCCCAGCACCGCCACCCGCGCTACGCCGGCGTCGCTCCATTTCACGCCGCCGTTTCACGCTCGCGAGAAGGTCCTTCTCCCTGAACGCGAAAAAATCGGCATCAAAGGTGGCGTCCGTTTCTGTTGGTCGCTCTGCTTCCTTCAGGTCTGCGACACCATCGAAGAAGGCTCCCGGTTGTTGGCTGGAGGTGAGACGTCGTGCTGGAGCCGGTGCTTGCGAGGAGCGGGTCCTCCGTGGAGACGAGGTCGGTTGACCGCTGAGGCCCTTGTAGCCGCAAGCATTCGTGTCGGGGTCGTTCAGGCTGGGGTGAAGGCGGCGGCAGGATTGGTTGGGGGGTGAGCACGATGCATGTAGCAAGAGTTGCGCGAACGGTCTCAGTCCCGCTGGTGTAGCTCACACCAGGAAGTGAACAGGTTGACAGGGGGCGAAACTGCATGACGGTCTGTCCTGGGGCAGGCAAGCCACGTACCGCGGTCATCAAAGGGTGGCATGACCAGTGACTGGTGGTGACAGTAGCCAACCCGAACAGCAGTCACACAGACAGGTTGTGTCCTGTGGAGTAGTTGTGCGCGTGCTGACGACGGACGGTGGAGAGTGTTCGGTGGCAAGCCGCTTGCTGAACTCAAGACAAGCTTGTGCACCAAAGGGTAAACTAGCCCCAACCCTCGATTTCCCTGCTGCCCTGTGCAGTATGTAAGGAAGTGGCGCTTTTGTCACTCGTGGCCCATACCGGACTGTTCGACATCAATCTCGTCCGATCGTCCTTTACAGCTTTACCTACCGAAACACCCCGCCACTGGAATACCCCGCTTCCTGTGAATGACAGCTATAGGCGGTGCGGTCATTAACCTACATGTGTATGAATATGGTCATCAGCCTATGCGTGCATGTATCCCTCAACAGCGAATGCGCCAGAGTTGGACAAAACTACGAGAAGCATCGCTCGGCAAAAACCAAGCAAAAAAAAAAGCTGCCGGCCGTACCTTTTGAACTCGAAGACGGAGTGCTTGCTCCAGATGTCATCTTCCTCCGGGGGTCTCCGCTTGGACGCCGGCATCGCGTATGACACCATCCTCTCCCTCATAGACCCGCCCTCATTGTCCTCCTCTTCTGGGTCTGGATTTTCGCCGCTGCTACGAGAACCGTCTGGACCGCGTGGCTTGCGGAGGCCCATCAAGCGCGTTGAATCCCGGCGTCGTCGGCCGTAGCCCAACCGCGTGCTGCCGTCCCCGCTGCCGTTGGCCAAACAGGCATGGACAATCTTGCTGCCGCTGCTGCTGCTGCTGCTGCTGCTGCTGCTCCACCTTGGACTCGTTGGTAGCGGCTTCGACAGAGTTGGAGCGGACCATTCGTGGCGGGCGTAGTGCAGCGCTGTTGGCCGTAGTGAGCGGCGGGCACAGGCGTTATCGTGATGCGATGGTGGCGCCAGCCTCGAGGCAAAGCAGCTCAGCAGGCAACATGCGAATGCTGCTGACGCCATCCTTGCCTTTTCCAAAAAGAACCTGGGTGGCAGAGAATTGCTATACTTGATCCCTGGTCAGCCTTCCTCAAAAATTCCGGGTCTCAGCAGAGCAGCAATGATGGGTGTGTGAAATCAGGTGGGATGATTCCCGGGCGTGGATTTGTTTGGCGTGGAGCGTACCTGGTACACGTACGAGTAGCACGCGAAGGGAAGGCTCCAAGCTCCAAAAGGCTGCTGCGGGGGGGACCGCGAATAGCCGTACATAGGTACCCGGTCAGAACTACATCCTACAGCTGACGAGCCCCTGTTCCTGACCGCTAGACCTCGACGCGAGCTCGGGAGCAGTGTTACATCCTTGTTACGCAGCAGCTTTAACTGTGGTGCTGCTCTCTTTCAGTCTCTTCATCTCTGCAATTCACGAAGAGAACTCCAGGGTGGGCAGCATGAAGAAGCAGTATCGCCGCCGGCGGGCCGACCCTGAATCCGCAGGCTCGGACAAGGAGGAGGATGAGGAGGAGGAGGAGGGAGAGGAGGGAGAGGTGGTGCTGGAACATAACCCGTCCAGAAAGAGAGAGAGGACCTCAACGAGACGCCAGAGCCCAGAGAGATCGCACCGCAGCGGTGGCGGCAGTGGACGGCGCAGTAGCAGTGGTGGCAGAACATCGGGCAGTAGAAGACGAGACGGAGGTGATAGCAGTAGGAAGAGAAGAGACCGCGAGCGTGACCGATACGCTGAAGACAGCCGGCACCGCCGCAGGGAGGCAGGTGCTAGAGGAGGAGGATCTGGTGGCATCAGCTACGGCAACTTGGCGGTAGGGGCAGCTGGAGGTAGAGGTTCTCTTGCAATCGACAAGGATTGGCAGCGGGAGCGAGAAGTGGAGAGAGAAAGGGCGAGCAGCAGAAGGGATCCTCGAGGAGGGGCCGCTGCGGGCAGCAGGGATAGCGGGGTGAACTACGGAAAGGAAGCCGACACACGGGAGAGGGACCGGGCGCGCGCGAGAGAGAAGGAACGGGAGAGGGAGAGGGGCCGGGAGAGGGATCGGGAAAGGGAGAAAACCAAGGAGAGAGAGAGGGAACGAGAAAAGGACAGAGAAAGGGACAGGCTGCTGCAAGAATTGGCCGTTGACTCGGACGAGGATCCACCCAAATCGAGCGGCCCAAAGGAGAAGACCGGCATCTTCTCCTATATCAAGAAGACAGCGGCGGCCATCAATGGCAACAACCCGATCGCCGGCAGCAGTGGCCGTGACGCCACCACGGCAGACGGGAGAGCAGCGGGGGCGGACGGGAGGGCTAAAGCGGCGGCGGCACGGGCTGCGCGGCCGAACAGCGCTGCGCTGGTGAACATCCTTCGCAGCGACCGACGGACGAATATCCGGATGGATCGCGAACAGTTCGACGGGGCCCAGACGCGGCTGAGGAAGCTCGCGCCAGAGGGAAACGATGTCTGCGACAACTTCAGGTTGGTGATGTTTCTAGAGAGGCGTGTTTGTAGCGCGCGTGTGTCGTTTGTTATCAGGAGCCGACAGTAGGAATCTGGTAGTAAGACTTACCCGTTATACTTAGTCAGCGCTCGAGTAGTCTAGTGGAAAGCCTTTCCGCTCGACTACCGTAAGTGCCGACTGAGTATCTAATGGGCACGCCTTCCTAACAGAAACGTCACCTGTTGCTGACAGAGGGTCTATGGGTCGGTAAATAGTAAAGTATGCACAGATGCTTTGGCTGCGTACAGCAACAGCAGCAGCATTAGTGGTGACAAACCACGATTCTCGTGGCCAGTGCCTCCGCCCTTGCTCTCCTGGGAGCTTGCAATCGTTACTCTTTACTGACCGTGCCTCCCCCGCTCGTTTCCCCTGCACACCCCGTGCGCATGGCCTACATCAAGCACGGGTTAACCGGGAGTAACTAAAAGGGATCGACCAGTTGTACCTCTCGTGTTGCATCCGCTAACACTCCCAACCGCTCCGCCGCCACTCTCCCTCCCTCCCTCACAACACTTGTGTGCTTGGTCCCGGCGCTCGATTTCCCTGTTTTCTCCCTCCAACAGCACCGGCTGCCGGCCGGACAAGACCGGCAAGAAAGACCACCCATTCGTTTGCACTCAGTGCCCGATGAGCTTCCCCATGGCCACGCTGCTCAGCGACCACTTGGAGCGAGCCCACGGCATCTTCAAGCACCCGTCGCTCATCACCCCGAACAAGACCCTGTCCGCGGGGCTCGCGGCAGAGACGTGAACCAATCGTTCGGTTTTCGGCTGTTTTTTAAGTGGGTTGTTTGAAGGAGTGCAGGTCCTGGTTGTTTATGTTTTGGCATGTCCTTCTGTCAGCTCACAAAAAAACTCGTGGTTTTTTGTTTCGGTTCAGGAGGCGGGGATCAGTAAATTTTACGGCGCACGGGCCACGCAGGCTTAAAATTATTGTTGTAGGCGGCCTGTGCGATGAAGAGATCAATTAAACTGAGTTGTATGAGGTAGCGGACGATTTCCTTTCATTCTTCCCTCCGACAGCACAGTTCTCACGGCGCGTGAGTCGTGACTTCAAAAAAGAAGGGTTGGTTTTGAAGGCAGAGATAAAGCATGCTCTGCATACCACATTGCTACAATTGTAACCTTTGCGAGCCACGATCGAAGGTGGTGTCGAATCTTTCTTTTGGCGATGCATGTTTTCCCTCTCCCTTCCTGTTCTGTGGAACACTGGTAGTGGTTACCACTACCGCGTATAAAGGAACATGTTTTGCTACCAGGGGGATGGCGGCAAGTAGGTTGACCGCGTTGTGACGTTCACTCGATTAGAGCGTCGGGTTGGCGTGGGTCGAATCGGATCAGCGCTATCTCGGGCGCACGCGTGAGGGAAGGAAGGATTTCGGGCAAACACGCGGTAACTGCCGAGAGTTGTCAACACGCAAACTTACAGGGAACAAGGAGAGGCCCCGCACGTGTATTTGGCAGGCGCTGCTGTAGTGTTGAGTGTCGTTGGAGCGGCCAATCGTGCCCAGAAGGGGGCTTAGGCCGGCGCGGTGACTGCTGTACCATAGACTCTTAAGGAATTTCGGATGACGATGAGGACGTTACGCCCGGAAGCTCGAAATGCCCGACAACAACACAGGCTTCTACTAGACTTGTTTGAAAACCCTTCAAAGCCGGTAGCGATTGCGTCAGGCTTGTTCTTCGACCACTCGCCTGTTGCTTCAAGGCTTAATACTATCCCGTCGAGCTCCTTACACGGTGGCCTAAGAATGGGGGCGAGACGGGGATGGGGCTGTTGAATGGCGACCGGGAGCGTGGATTATGGCTGTGTAAGTTGATCGCGTTGGCTTCGGCAGCGTTGAAGTCGACACAAGAACACCCTCTGTGCCTAGCGCTACCTGGAACAGTTGATACGTGCATGCCGTGTGTGAAATTAGGCGGAGAACGGCGTTTGTTGTGGGGAGGGGGCTTACAGACACTGTGTTGGGGTAATAGCCGGTGGAGTCGGGAGGACGAGAACAATGCACTCAATTTTGTTTTTTTCTAAAAAAAGGTTGCGTGGACTATCGGCTGTCTAGTCTCCTAGTTGGAGCGGACGGCGCGGTTTTCTACTTGTCCATGAGACTACACCTCTTCGTGCGCGGCACATTCACACAACCACACGAACACCGCACCTGACAGCGGAAAGTCACGTTGGTCATATTCAGCTGAATACCATCCCGCCTTTGCAGCGTATCATGACGGTGCGATTGTCCACACAATTGGAGGGCGCACGGCTCACTTGTACCTCCTGCAGAACATGAGCTACCTTACTGCTGTTGCACTGCCTCGGCGTCAACAAGCAAGTAGCGGAAAAAGTACCTAGGCTAGTGCTACAGATGTGGCCTGGTTCTGAGGCGCACGATGCGGAGCGTTGGGGCCGAGAAAGGACGAGGCCGCTTCTTGTCGACCATTAGCAGTCAAGCAAAATTGCGGGTACCCGTGAATCAAAGTTCGAGACCCCGGTATACCGCCATGTCTTGTTCGATGATATTTGCTCGCTTTGCTGCCAAGGCCAGCAGGGCCCCGGACGAATCAAGTTTTTTGCGGCCTGTGCAAACCCCGGCGCCAAGACAAAAGAGGGAGCCGTCCTCTGCAGACGTCGGGGAGATTGTACCCTTCATGAAGAGGATCGCCATATACCGGCGTATTAGAAAGAGGACACCAAAAGTCGAAGTACAACAGGCTTACACTACAAACACGCACGGACTGCTCCTCCAATCCTCCTCCTCCTGTCTCTCGACACCCCCAAATGTACGGATAGCGAATGTGTACAGAAACTACAGCAACAACGATTAAGAACCGATGACGCTTGAAACAAAAACAAAGCACAGCAGTTCGTGAGTTGGCGCATCACGGGAAGCAGAGGCCAACGCCCAAAAAGCATCTATTCCCGGCAAGAGAAAGCGGGCGAACCTCCCGTCTTTCCGGTGAAGAGAAACGTTTCTATTTCAACAAATCCAACTGCCAGTCTATTCTTGGCACATAAGACAATGCTGGGTAGCATTCTATCGAGGCCAGCGCCAATGCGATTTGCCTACCATTGAAGTGCTTCTTTCCCAATGCAAGCTGGGTGTTCCGCCGACAAGTGCACAGAAAGCAGCAACGCCGCATGGTTTTTGGTCGAGCAAAAAACTGCGCGCTACCTCTTGCATTTCTCTCTGTTACATATCGCCGGAAGTCTCTCCTCATCCAAGGTCTATGTGCACAACCGTGAGATCCAAAGGACCAACATCCTCTGAAGGATAAACCAAGCCTGCTTCTACCAAAACACGCTAAGGGAGTCAGTCTTCTCACGAACGACGCATGCACGCGTAACAGGCGGAAACAACACTGAACCAGCTGCGGGGCTCTCCTTCCGTCCCAGTGCAGGGGGCGAGATATCGCACAAAAAAAATCCTGGTGAAAGCAACAGAGTGTTCCACCTCTTTACATCACCACACAGGAACACACCAGCTTGCCGCGTTCATTTCTTGGGGTCCGAGCGCATCCACTACTACGCCGCGCGGAATGGCCATTGCCGACGCTTGTCCGCCACGGTCGACAACGTGCTACCCATGCGTTGAAGACAGGGATAAGGCGACGTTTCTTATCCGCCTTTGTCAATAACTGAGTGACGAAGACAACGTAGCCACTGCTGTATCCCGGCTCCAACTCGTCTCGATACCACGGAGGTTCCGCACGGTAGTGTTGCCTTGTTTCACGAGGGTAGATACCATCGTTATCATCGACGGGTCCCCCGTGCGTACGAAAACGAATCCATGTGTACGAATATCATAATCTATTGAACCGAAGAAGCGCCTTCGAAACGCAGTCTCCCCTGCAGCCCAGGCCCCATCATCTCCTCCGCCGCCGTTGTACGCGCGCAGCAATGTCATCCGATCTTGAGCCGTTTTTTGGCACGCTCCCCGCATAAGATGACGTGCCGCTATTACTGCTAGCACCCCCGCCTCCTTGTGCAACCTCCTCCTTCAGCGCTGCCTTGAAACGCTCGAAGCTTGACGCCACCGAGTCAGCCTCCGCCTTCACCTTTTCCCCTGCCCCGCGGATGAGCTTCGCCGCCTCCTCGGGGTTATCCGCCATCTTCTTCGTTTGCTCAACCTTGGCGGTTTTCAATGTTGGGATGGGCGGGGCGGGGAGGGGGTGGTTTGGCATGGGTCATGTTGCTCATGTTTTCTTCTTTCACCTTCGAGAAGAAGAAGGGGGAGGGGGGGCAAGACTGGGCTTTCCACGCTGACAAGACACTGCTTTGTTGGAGGCGATCCTATCGCAAACACCTTTGTTGAGCAAACGTAGGTTCACTTCAGTTCACGAGTTGGGCTCTGACCGGCGTTTCTTCACATACAGCAGCGGTGTTGTGGGGAAGTGCAGGCACTTGCCTTTCAGCCTCCGTCCTCAGCCACACTACAAACTTACGGCGAGCACCGCGCAGAAACAACGACTAGGGGCCTCAAGGAAACGGCCTGGTATCTCGGCTACACGCAAAGTGTCTGGGGTCAGAGAATCGTCGATTATCCCGCGTCGACGGAACTCGTGTTCTGATGCGACAAATGCGCTCGAAAATGGATAGAGGGACAGCAGTACTGCCGTACAAATGGGATTAACCCCCAAACTCGCAGAGTAAAAAGAGACACCCGCCGCCAGGGGCTGATGCGAAGGAACTTACTTGCACGGGAAGCCATGAGAACAACTATGATTCAAACACATCTTTGCAGACGTTGATCGCGCCCGTGAACTGAATTATTAGGTTCTCTACCTGATGCTGCAGCAGTAGCAAAACTGCACTACATCATCAAAAAACAAACGCTATTGGGTCTTGGGAGTAAAGTACATACCGGGTGCCTGCGATTGATCACCAGTCGACGCAAGTCTACTGGCGCAGAATTCGGAGGTGGACTGCCTTTTTCACTCCGCTTAGCAACCTCTCAGACACACACCAGAAAAAGGGAATTTTGTCAACTGCTGTGTGCCATGCAAACGCGGCGGTGGCGGCGGCGGCACGGCCACTAGGGTGTCCACAGGTTTCTACGTGGCGGATCGCTGCCTGCGTTTCCCAACCAACTCACGGCGCGTATTGTAGCGTGCTGCTGACACCAAAAGTTGCGGGCGGTTTCAGTGACGAAGAAAATGCGATGCCCCGCGATAGTCCCCCGTCAAAGAACAAACAACAACAGATAATATTGGAGCTATGTGTTGACGAATACCGGCTCTTTTTCTCTCCTCCTATGCAGTGTCTCCTCCTCCCTCTCGCCGCACACCCCCGTACCTTCAAGTGCGTTCTCATGGCGAACTGCTGGAAAGCTCGCGAGTTGGCCAAGCGCTTGGTGATGATTTCGCTGGCGAAGTGGTTCACGATTTTGATGAGAAACTGGGCCATGGCTGTACGTCTTCACCGCGGCTCTCCAGAACTTGACCTCCTCTCTACTACCTTGTTCTATTGGTACTCTGTTGTGGCTCTTGTCGTGAGTGCGGAGCAGGCGTGCTGGTGTAGGCAGCGTGGTAGCCAGCTTGTCGGGACCTGTTGGGAGGTGACGCAAAAGGTAAATCAATTGCGGAGGGGTGCATCATATTTTCTTCTGCGAGCCCTCCGCTCCCGCCGAAACTTCTGCGAAACCAGAGCGACATCACTGTCGTGCCGGACGCCAACTTTGAGAGGGTTGCGGGCAGAGTGATAGTGTTCGACTGCATAACTCGTTGCCCGAATCCCGACGGTTTGCACGCGAAAGGGTTAGGGGAGCAGGTTGGAATTTGGTTCCGTGCGAGAGGAAAGAAAAAATCGATCCATCCGAGATTTTATTTCGCTTCTTCGGCTGCTGCCAGCAACAACAGGTGCTGCTGCCCTTCACTCGCGAAGGAAGGGCTTTGTGCATCACAACGCCAGCGCGATGTCGTTGTTTAATTTCAGTGGAGGAGGAGACATATGGTCCAGCGCAGGCTTCGCCTTCGTGAGGTGAGGAACGACGTGTGCTTTCGCTTCCGAGAGAAACGTACCTAGTACACATTATTGCTGGTCCTGAAGCGAAAAATAAGGTACAGCAGCAAGAGACCTGTCGGCAAGTGGTTATGCCTGGCCGGGCTGCGGATCTCCAAATTCTAGTCCAAGCTCGCAGATCTACGGCCGCTACGAGTGCGTGACGAGTACGTTACACTTCGTGCGGGCGGGCGGCAATCTGTTTTGGTCTCTGGGTTGCTGTTAAAGTGGAAAATTCCATCTGACAGTTACATGTTCCCTTGATCTGGGAGTGTAGACTACGTAAGTAAGCACGTGGTGAAGAACCTTGTGAGAGTAGACGCAGAGCTTGGATGCTGCTGCTGCAATACTATGCAGTCTATTATAGAGCCTCTTGCGTAGTTTCGGAGCGGCCGTGTCAGGTGTCACTGGCGCGTCCACATGGGCAATGGGATGCCCGAGGTATTGTAGTGCTTATGTGTTCTCTCCCTCTGTTCGGGTTGCGTTGGCCTCTATCTACTGTTAAATGGGGGTGGGCGTCTCAAAACTGGTGTACATACCCGTGGCACAAAGAGTCTGTGGATCTTCAAAACGAACAAGAGGTCTTTTGAGAGCATCGATTACTGCTGCGTTGTGCAGTTGCGGAGCGTGTTCCCGTATGTATCTTTCCTCTGCTCTGGTATGTACTTCGCTTTGTTCCTAATGAGGGACGAGTACTCCCTGAAGGTACGGCGGGTTCTTCGTCCAGAGTGTTGTTCGATACCATGCACGCGTGTAGACTAACTACACTCGGGAGCACCAACGCTTCCACCGAAATATTTATCCGGCCAACCTCTCAGTGGTATTAATAGTCATGAACGCACACACGCATACACAAACACCATGTTGCCCCCTCACGGGGTCCCAGTTCATGGCAGATAGAAGTGTTTTGTGTTTTCAACCGCACTGAGACTGACGTCTTTTCGTTGGTCAGCCGGTTAGCGCGGTCGATGCTAAAAATAAGACACATGGAGATGCGTTTGTCATGACAGAAATGCGTTCGGATGTGGTGCACAGAATGTTGGTATGTTGCATCTACATTGTCCGCAACTTGGCGTTTTGGTTCCAATCTCAGGGGTTCCATCATGCAACCCTACTCTACTATTACCACTTAATATGCCGTGGTCGCGCTACTACTTCACAAACTACATGAGTTCGAAGTAGTTCATGTTGTTGCGTGCCACACAACAAGTGTCTCGTTTGTATGCATACTCTGACATGTCCTGTGTTCTTGCTGCATACCACTACCTTACCTTACATTTTCCTTTCATGCCTACTCAATCCTTGCGCAGCCGAACATGCTTGCAGCAGCAGTTCATGATCACAGTAGATATCTCCGCCGACGACGTTTGCTCTACTGCTGTAGCTGATTTTTTTACAGACGTTTGTGGGATTTGATGCACTACAGCAGTCTTTGAGTTTTTGAAGAATCTTGTAACCGGTGTACTGCAAGACGGAGGGCCACCATGCCCTCACACCTGTCCTTCACTCTCTCCAAGCGCCGTCCGTGTTTGTCCTCCGTCGTTTCGGACACGAGTTGGTGCGACTTCGTCTACAGTATCAACTCCCGCTCCTCAACATTCGGGAGAGTGCCGTTTTGGGTGGCAACCTATTGTCGTAGATCTCTCTCTCGTCCAAGCACCGGAAGAGGCGGAGAGATAGCACCCCCCCCTAGGTCGATTGTCGAAGCCCGATTGCTCCGCTACCAAGATTGTGCCAACACCAATAATGGTGGTTTTGGAAACATCTCGTCCACGGCTTTCCGTCGATGTATCTGACTCTTTCCGCACCCACTTGGTTGTGGAGCAGCCGAGCTTGAAAGTCAGTCTAGGGGGGGTGCCATCTCTCCGCCTTTTACAGAATACCACGGTACGGTATACGGTACGGTATACGGCACGGTACAGAAAATCTTGGTTGTGGAGCAATCGAGCTTTGAAACCGGGTCTAGGGGGGATGCCATCTCTGCACCACTTACCGTATCCCCGCAATTCTGCTGTTCTTGACGTTGAATCCTTATCCTTCCTTCCTTTCCCACGTATACTCCAGCACAGATGAGGGTGTTGGAGATTGTGGTGATTTGTGCCTTCGCGAGGCTAACAGTGTCTACTATGTGTGTTTTGGTGTCTATCGAGGCCACGTACCCGTCTCCTATGTTGCCGCGCCCGTTTGCAGCTCAATCGTCGTCAACGTCGACCACCGGCAGCAGCCCCGGTTGCTCGTTGTTTGTTTCCAACGAATGCATGGATGGTCGTTGAAGTCGATAAACGATCTATACATGAAAATCGCGAGGTTCGCTTGGCTTGGGAGGCACAGCCGCGGCGAGGGCAAGAAGTTGGCGTGTTGTGCCGTGGCAGCTTTCCGGAGCCATCACTAACATATATATCCACACTTTTACGTGCTGCGGCACACCTTTCCGCTAGTCCCACCACGTAACCGAACCCACATGCCCTTCTACCTTATCCGTTGCCCAGCCCTTTGCCTCAACCTGACCCGCGAATCCTAGCCAAACAACTGAACCCGCATGCCCTTCCGGCTTCTCCGTTCCCCAACCCTGTGCCTCAAACGGACCCGCGATGTATGTATGGTGGGTGGTACCAGTCCCATCAATGACATCCTCGACAAAGACTCCTTTACGCTGGAGGAGATTCTCGCTCAGGACGAGGTCCTGCAGGAGGTCAAGAGCCTTAACATCAAGCTCGTCGACTTGTGAGACTGACAGGAGGAGGGTAGTAGCTAGATCGTCACTGCTTTTTTTTTGTGTGTTGTGGTCTCAGGTTTGGTGTACTTGCTGGAGGTAGAAATCCCTAGCTGCGCTCAACTAAAAGTTTCAATGCCTTGGTACGGCCGTAGGACAGCAGTGGGTGGTGGCAGAGGAAAAAGGAGGGCACGTATACAGTAGCGGCAGCATCGGTGGTTGTGAGCAGTAGATGGGAGCGTGTCCTGCTCTCCATAGTAGGTCTTTTTCGTATCCGGCGATTGCGAGGTGATGCCCTGACCCATCTTCTTCACGCGTCTCTTCCCCCCCACTCCCCCACCCCTACACCCCTACACGCTTCCATTTCGCTCTGTCTCTGTGTCGCTCTTCGTGTATGTCTCCCTCTCCTCTCTGCTCCTTGGTCGCCATCAGTCTTAGCAAGGAGTCAAGCGTGCGGGACATGATGTCGTATCTTGCAGACCCCCCGCCAGAGGGCGCGCCGGACAACCGTGTCTTCAAGTGAGTCACCTCACGATAGGGGACAATGTCGAGGGGAATCATACAGGGAACAGGGAAAGGACTGGGCGGAAACGCTGGGTACTGGAGCACGTCCACCTCCCCCTGCGAAGGGAGCCGGGGCAACCGACCTATTTCCCTGGATGGGGGGGGTCTATCAAACGCTGTCGTAGACCGGTTGTTCACAGCGGTTTCGTTTGCTGTGCGTATCTCTGTGTATTTCCTCGACAGGTTCCCTTACATGTCGTGCGAGATCATCTGCTGCGAGGTGCCCGAGATCCTAAAGGCAATCGCCTTCGACGGTGTGGGCGGCGGAGATGATTGCCCCCTCCGCAAGCTCTTCTCCATACTGGACGGAGAGGGGGACATCGACTCTCACCGAGCAGGGTACTTGGAAAAGGCGAGCCGCAGACACAGTACGCGACGGGATAAAGCAGTGTCGGAGATGTTGGCTGCCGTTCTAGTGTCCTGTTCATCCTGGCCTTTGTGTTTGGTGTCTTTCGTGTTGTCTCCATGCCGCTCTAGTGGTCGGTTCATCTGCCGTTTTTCCTGTAATCAGGGTGCGCGTTGTCGTGAGGGGGTTGAGATGGCCGCTTCTGGGAGGGCAGATGGATGTCGACAGACGAATTTCGGGTCGCGCTGCTGCGCTTGCACACATTCCCTCGTGACCCACTCTGACGGGACCCCTGGTGACGACCTTTGGAAGAGGCGTTGTCCGTTTTGTTTTCGCTACAAGACTGGCGTCTTTGCGTTGGTCAGCTGGGTAGCGCGGTGGATGCTAGCAAGAGAGACATTCTGTCACTAATGCTGTGTCGTTCTGTCACTGATGTTTTATCGTCCTGTCACACGCTGCGAGGAGATTTGTCCTGTTTGTTGTCATCCCATTGTCTTCTTTGGACTGGAAGACGAACAATCTCACTAACCTGCCTCTCTCCACGTACGTATCATACGTGTCGATGGTGGGACTGGACTTCGAACGGTACAAGGTGCTGACGGTGCTGCTGAAGCATAGGTGTGGGGCCACGACTGCTTTCGTCAACGAGCGGGGGCTCGATCTGTTCCGCAGGATGGTGCGCCACCTCGGAAACTACTCGGTCATGCAGGTGGCCAAGCTGCTGCTCCTGCCCAAGTACGCTGCCCTTCAAGGTGAGACAAAATACCTACAACGGCACTTGCTTTTTGCGATCAGATTGGCAGCGTGGATGACTATTGCATGATAGGACGCTTGTAGAACGGTTTTTGTTTGTTGTTTTTTACAGGTATTTTGTCATGAGACTGACGTC